GCAAACCGTTTTCCATTAATATCAACCTGAAAATCTGTGGAAAAATTTTATGATTAGACATAAGAAGGAAGTTGATTTTCTAATAATATGTCTGGAAATTTAAGTCAGTTCAAATAATACCAGCGGGATAAAAATCCAATATCGGTGACAACGCATCTGTCATCAATTTCCTATAAAACAATGGAAGCGCATGTGCACTATATGCACACTGATTGTGTCAGATCCTAGTATATAAATAAATAACCAAAAGAGATGGATAAGTTATATTGAAAACCTTGCAGCAGGCAATACACCCATTAGTTGATCAAACGGCTTGAAGGGTTTCCCAATTGAGAAGTGAAATTCAAATTTATCAATATCATAAAAATCTGAAGCACGCGGTGCATAATGATAAGGATAAAACCTGCACATTAATACATTGAGATAATTAAAGATCAAGTCAGCATCCTGTGAAACAGTATGACGTAAGGCCATTGTTATGAAACTTAAAACAAATATGATATATCCATAATGACCAATTTTGAAAATACGGTATGTACATTGCTCTAATCAAGTATAAATTTCCTTATATTATCAAGAACTAGTTTTCTCCATTCTGGAAAGCAAAATTTTCGTAGCACATACGCATGAGGCACAGAAACCTTCTCCATGTCATTCTTCAAACTACCAAATCAAGCATCAATGAAAAGAGAGTTTCAAGATACTTCTATATTCTTCATAAATATAAACTAGAAGGTTATTAGTTTAATTGCATGATTTGGTTCTCTCTTGTTATATTGGAAACTTTGTTTTTGTTAGATTCTAGATATGGAGTTGGCCTTTTTTTTTGTAAAGATCCAAATCTTTTTCATGCCACACTAATCCTGGTTTATGTGGACTAACTGGTTAAGACCTTGGTTTCAACCAAGTCAGGGAATCAAATCCTCTTAAACCATCTGCTTGGAATATCATATGCCACAAATTTTCTAATATTCAATGTTGTGAATTTGTCAAAGAGCACAAGACC